CCTTCAGCTCCAGCTGTCCCTCCTGTTTAATAATAAAAAACAACCAGGGAGGATCAGGCCAAGATCTGCAGCCTCACAGAACAAAGGAGATTCTTCAGGAAGCTGGATGGTCACCGTGTAGATGAGGGTGTTAATCGTGAGCTCTGCTTGGTCCAGAAAGAGCTGCTGAGGGGTCGTGCAGCAAACCGAGCCAGCTTGGTTACTCACTATGAGGCGTTCCACATGTCTGGATGTCAGACGAGCACTCCTTATTGCTCTGAGAATCAAACGTTGAATAAATCCTGTTTTTGTGCGAGAAAACATCGGTTTAAACAGAATAAAACGTTACCATTTACCACGTACACAGTAAAGACTCGCACCCCTCTCTGCCTGGCAGTTGAGAATGTGCTGATGGAAACCAACTGCAACTTTGAGAGAGAAGACTGATGCTTAAATTAGCTGGACTTGAATAAAAAAAAAAATTTAAAAACACAAACCGCCCCGTTCACCTTGTCACCTTGTTCACAGATGTCATGAGCTCCAGCTGCTCCGCTTCAGACAGAAGCTTCTCGTCTGCCATCATCACCTCAAACTAAACATCTTTAGGTGAGATATGTGCTGGAGCAACAGGAGAAGGTGGAGGTGCTGCAGGAGAAGGTTGTGGGTTCCTCAGCCACTCAAACATCCTACTGGCCAGAGGACAGGCCAGCATGCAGACGGTGAGCAGGAAGTGTGGGAGCTGGTGGCTCATGACTGCATCAGCACAAAAGAGAGAGGAGTAAATACTGACATGTCACTGGCTGTAGAAGGCTTTACTGTTGAAAGAATGAGGACATTAAGGTTTTGGCATCATAAACATATTAATGGTATAAAAATAGCAAAGGCAGTTGCTATGCTAACCAGACTCAATGAGTCTTTGAATTTTAACGCTTTATGTCCTATACGATAATGTGATTGTTCCATATATGACTTATTGCATTGAAATCTGGGGAATTACATGTAAACATACACTAATCCATTCATGGTTTTACACAAAATGAGCAATAACAATCATTAGTCTAAAGTCACAGAGCTCCAAACCGCGCATCGTTGGCTGAGTTACAAATATTACAATTTGGTGATCAGGCTGATTACAGGACTCTACAATTGTTCTATAAAGCTCATGTGAAATCAAATTTCCAAGCGAAATCTCAAATCTGGTGACAGTGGGGCAGATTATACATATGATTATCTTTTAATCTGCTTCTTTTCATTCAGGTATTTCAATTCAATTCTGTTCAATTCAAAAATACTTTATTAATCCCAGAGGGAAATTGATTGCTGTAAGTTGTATTGTTTTATTCATTTTGTTACTATATGTTTAACCCTCCCATTGTCTTTATGGGTGACCCCGCGAGGAAAGTTGACCTTTGTGCAGGGTTGATGGTTTATCCCTTGGGTCCATATGGGAGGGGTGAGGAGTGAGCACCACCTCACCCCTCCCATATGGACCTCAAGGGATAAACCATCAACCCTGCACAAAGGTCAACTTTCCTTTCGGGGTCACCCATAAAGACAATGGGAGGGTTAAAATAACAAAAAAATAAATTAAATTAAAAATAATTTAATTACATTTTCTTACCACAAAAAACGTTTATGGCACTTTTGTTAATCCTCATGTTTTACAGAGAGGAGCTAAAGTTTTGTTCTCTACCTTAATGTGTTTGCTGTCGGTTTCATCAGAGCATCTCACAGGTGTTATTGTGGTTCCTTCTTCTGCTGTACACCTGTGGATGGATGAAGAATTGATCAAATAATTATATAAACTACGCAGCAAAGATTTGCAGTCACTGTTTCATTTAAATTACATTTAAATAAGTAGAATTGGAGAAAGCTGCAGACATTTATGTTCTCACATGCAGCATCTTGACACAAATTATAATTCACAAACGAATCAAATCTTTTGAACGGGTTTTCAAAGTGAAATACAGTTATAGGAGGAGATTTCAATATTGTCTAAATAATTTAATGGACAGATGGCCACCTAAAAACAATAATTATCGAAATAACTTTCTAGCTTCTTTTATTGAGAGATATAAACTAATAGACACATGGAGAGAAACACACAAGTTTCAAAGGGAGTATACGTGGGCTAATAAATCTTTATCATACTGTTCAAGAATTGACTATTGGCTCATCTCCAAGGACTTCAACAATGTAGTTACAAATATTCTACCTTCTCCTTTAACTGATCATAAAACCATATATATTTCTGTTCCCTTAATACCAGCACCTAATAATATTAATCATTCATATTGGAAACTTAATAGCAGTCTTCTTAAAAATACGGAAATCTGTTTGGCAGTGGAGAGTCTCATTGGGAGTTTTTGGGAAAAGGCCTTGGAAGAAAGTTCTTTTAGCCTTAATTGGGAGCTATTTAAATATGAAGTCTCAAAGTTGCTTAGAAAATATAGTAGTGACTTGGCAAAGAAAAGGAAAAAGGAAGAAAGAGAAGCTGTGCAAAAAATTACTTTTTTATCTTCGAAACCTTCTGCTTCTTCAACCACAAGTGAAAAAACGGTGCTTGAGGAAATGCAATCTAAACTAGACGAGATGTATATAAAGAGAGCAGAAGGAGCATATATCCGATCACTTAAACAATGGATAGAAGAAGGTGAACAAAACTCTGCCTATTTTTTTAGACTCGAAAGACAACAATCCAAAAATAACTCCAAAAGACAACTGAAAATAGATGGTTTGGTTGTAGAAAACCTCCAAAAAATAGCTAACTCGCTAGCTCTGAATTTTATAGTAATCTATATACATCTAGTTTTTGCAGGCACTCAACTAGTCAATTTTTCAATTCACTTCCTAGTAAAAGAAAACTGACAGCAAGTGATACTGGCTTCTGTGACAGCTCAATAACCTTAAGTGAAGTAAGTAAGGCCTTAAGCCAACTAAAGGCAAATTAATCGCCGGGATCCGATGGACTTACAATCAGGGGTGGACTGGGACCAAAATTCGGCCCTGGCATTTTTACAAGCAAGCAAACACCCGTAGGCCAACTCTGCTTCATCACGCAGGGAAAATCAGTTAACTCCAAAATACGTTCTTTATTACAAAAATCTCTCATTTCAATTCCATCCTGTGTTAGCTACTGGAACACTTCCTGGCAAGATCTTAACTGGACAAGAATATGGACTTTACCGCAAAAATGTTTTTGTTACCAATAAAATGAAGGAAGTCTCTTTTAAAATAATTCATAGATTCTACCCAACTAAGCATTTTCTTCATAAAAGATTTAAGCATAACATTAATATATATTGCTCCTTCTGTGACCTTAACCCAGAGACTACAGTACACGTGTTTTGGGAATGTTCTGTCACAAAAATCTTTTGGAAAGATATCACTACTTTAATTTCAAGAACTATTAAAGTGGACATTCTGTTGAGTTTCAAAAATGTTTTATTTGGGACAACAGACTATGATGCAAGACCCTCTCCTGCTTTCTATTTCATCAATCTGATTCTGTTTCTCTCAAAGTTTTTTATACACAAATAAAAAGTAAGACATAAGAACCCTTTGTTTAATCATTTTGTTGTAGATTTAAAGACATATATAGATACAATCTCTTCTTCAAACAACAAAAAGGCCAATAAGACAAAATGTGTATTTGAAGCATTACATGTGCTTGGGTAATATTTAATCTCGCATTATGTTTTTTTTAAATACTTTTTTATTATTATTTTTCTTTGTATTTTTATTTGTATCTTTTCCTTTTCTCTCTCTCTCTCTCTCTCTCGCTCTCTCTCTCTCTCTCTCTCTTGCTATATTGTTTGATGTATATGTGCTGTTAGTCAATAACTTTGTATATTAATCTGTCTGACTTCCAGTTGTGTGGTTTGCTGAAAAATGATTCTGTGCACAAAATCGAGGGAAAGTGCTGAATTACTGCGGTTTGGAGAAACAGACAAACGAGTTGTCCAGTCGTTGCTTTCGGACGAAAAACAACGATTGGTTGAAGTTTTTAGACTAATTTGAGAGAATGACTTCATTCATTTTTTCATTTTTTTAAATCTCCACAATATATAGCTATGCTATGTTGGCACATTGTGAAGAGGCATGCGAAAAAAGTTTTTAACTCATTTGTTTTCCAAATTAAGGAATGCAGCTTTAAGTTTTTTAATATAAAAATTGTGAATGTAACTAACAATAAATTATTTTTAAATCATCAAGTAGACTCATTTAGTGTAAGATCTGAAACAAGTCATGAAATAATTAAACATTTATGTTGATCAATTAATTAGTTATTAAATCACTTTAGTTGAACCTGCATTGTAGGTAAAACAGAATATGATTGTAAACAACCTGTAGATTGTAGGAAATCATTTTATGCAACAAAATAATAATCATTTTATTAAGAGTAAACATGTCAACTTCTTCATGAGATCTTGTAGCTTCCAGCATATAAGGGAGGGGGAGAGGAATGTTATGGCTTACTCTTCCTGGTGGCAAGGCTAGGGAAGGTAAACAGGAGACTGTTTTGTAATGGAAGAACACAATATTTGTAGCAGAAGAAGCTGCTGGACACTTGACTGTTGATCTCTGATATTGCTGTGGACAATAACCTTGTTGGACTTTTCCAGTGCTACAACTGTTTGGTTGCCTGTTTGAAAGTTGTTAATACAAGCTTTTGAAAAAAGTATCACAGCGACCAGCATCCCGGCATGCGTTACAATCAATGACACAATGTTTCCTGTCTCAATTCGGCAATTATTTGCACACTTGTGTAGCACACACTCAAAGCCTTACCCCAGTTTCACACTGAAAGCATCAGCGGCGCAGAATGGCAGCAGATTGTCACCGCTTCAACTAGAATTAGTTGTAACGGAATCAAAGTGATGTAACTAACCAAAGTTGTATTTTAATACACTGTTAGTAGTTCACTTTTATAAACAGAAGAATAGGCTGTTTTTATCATCAGGGAGTTTAATTAAACACTCTGTATTGACTTTGAGACAATAAAAGAGAGAGAGATGGGATCGTTTGAGAATCTTTAATTTCTGAATTATAAATTCTAAACAATCTACCAGGACTACTCTGTGATGGATGAGAATGGATTCGGATGTTGTGTTGGTGCGTGTGTGTGAGTGCGTGTGTCTGGTTCAGATTCTCTAGGATGACGTAATCGAATCTGGTCGTCTTTGTTATGACTAGATATCACGAGGCTTATAAAGTGATGACATGAGCTGCTATTTTGCGTGTACGTACCCAGTGGGGTCTCCCAAGTAGATCAGGAATTGCCAGGTCTGGAAACCTCGGATGTACGATGGAGCTGTCGGTGCAGCGGTCACAACGTTTCAAAGCCCGTCTGGAGGGTCGGCCCGGTACGATTCAGCAGCGTCAGCAGTTGCTCTTATTTTGAAAGGACGTCGTCTGGTTGTTAAACGACGAAAATCTCCCGTTTCACAGTTCTTAGTTTAAAGAAAACGCATCCGGCCAGGCTGCGCTTGTCTTTAGGATGATGGTGAATAGAACTGAAGTCAAAATGGAACTGACTTAAAATGGCGTTGCCTTGTTTTATATCTCTGAATTGTTGATAAGTTTCAGTAAAGTAGATTGGACAGTTGAAGTCAACACCAGATTCTCCTGCGGCAGCCGAAAGCTCTGATTGGTTGGAACAATGTGTCATGCATTTCTATGGAGATGAGGATCAGTATGTCTGCACCGTAGTCCTGGTTTCATTAAACATAATTCATGACATATTTATTTCACAGATCATTCACTTGATTATTGTTGATCAACATCTGTTTTGCTTAATAATTTTAATCACAAATAAAGTACTTTGATTAGGTAAAGCTTCTTCTTCTCCTTCGGACTCTTCTCCTGGAATGTAAACAGTCTGAGGAACACCCGACCTTGGTTTTTCTACACGGTATTATTGTGCCCAGGGGCCAGCTGTATGGAGTTGAAAACCATGAACTTCATAACCTTACATAGTCTATTGACTGTTTCAAACCAGCAGCAATGCGGCAATTTCCAAGCCCGTCCCAGAAGCAGCACGCCGCACTGCTAAAGATTGGATTGGGTTCTATTTTTGCCACAAGTTGCTTCTGGGACACGTCAATTTCCATAGCTAACATAGGGCTGCTTTGTTTCAGTGTAAAATCTCTGGTAATTTTTGAAACAAAGTAATGCAGCAATGCTATTTCATACTGTATATATGAAGCTTACGTGTGATTCAACAGCTTATTTACTCACAGCATCGTTCCAGAAGTGCAGCTGTGTTTTTTTCATGGCTTTAATTCTGGCAGTGGAGAGGAAATACATCATATATGACAGTGATATCAAATGTGATTTCCTTCTTTTTGGTTTCATGGCAGATTGCATAAACAAACCATGATCGGAAGTCTTGAGGGATCGTGAGATCTCACGAGTCCAACAAAGAGCACAGCGAGGAAGTCGTGCAGCTGCCTAGACTCTCCCCGTGTGAAAAGGACTGCTTTGAAGTTTGCGATTAAACCTTTCTGCTGCTGTTTCGCACCGCTGATGCTTCCAGTATGAAACCGGGGTTACTGCACACTTTCTCCGAGTGCACAGTGCAAGTATTGGGATTGGGCCTTAGTCATCCTGCGAGTTTTAGGTGAAAACAGCAAGACTTTTATGGTTTTGTTGGAGACATTTTGCCTCGCATCCCAGAGGCCTCTTCCAAACTTTGGTTGTGGTCAGTAACAAACACACCGGTTGTGCTGCAGAGTGCATGTTGACACATCTCAAAGCTTCTGAAGGAAATGTCTGTTTTGGAACCAATAAAATCTCAAGACTACCAGGACCTTCTGGAGCTGAAAGTTCTGTTCTGTTTTAGAACGGAGCATAGTAAACTTAGGATAGCTCTCATATCATGTTTGGATAATTTATTTATTTAATGGAAATTAAAAGAAAGTAAAAGTCATAAACCCAGCTGTCTGGTTAAAATGTTTATTTTCTTATCAGGATTAAAATATTTTACAGATAAACCAAATCTGATCACTTTGGTAGATTTAGGATAAACAATTACAGCTAAGATTTACTTCCATTTGAAAAGCATCTTTCTACGACATCGCTTTGCAATTTAAAACCTTCATGTTGGCTTAATAAAAGGAATTTATTGAGCTCAGTAAAAAGGAGGAAAGCAATGGATAGCGGGTCAGAGTGAAGCAGGAGGTAATTGTTCTGGGATCAGTCAAAACAACAGATCTAAAACTGTCCCTATGGAAAGATCTTGTCTAGTCCAGCTGCATTCAGAGGAGATGAAGGAAGAGGAATCAAACAGCATAGAGCAGGAAGCCAGTGAAGGTGTTGAAATGGTTGAAACTGTCACAGATGTTACAACCACTAAGAAGGCTGACGGACACCTGGTCCCCAGCTTTAAGCGTGATGGCGAGAACACTGGTGCTGCTGTCTTCAACATCCAGACCGTTTCTGTCACTGAGGGACGACACCACGTTGCCGTTAACCAGGAGGCTGGCGCAAGAGGCCTGGCTTTTATCAGCAGAGGTAACGCTGTAGATGGAGACAGCAAGGCTGTAGACACCAGAGAGAGGAGCAGTGAAGATGCCGGTCTGAGTGCTGTAGCCTCCCGTGTTGTAAAAGGTGTATTTGTAGATGATGGGTGCATCGTTGGCATTGGGGCCAACGCAAGTCAAAGCTGACGCGTTGTTCAGGGCCACTGAGAAGACACTGCGGCTAGCTGGAGAGCCAGTGAAGAAGAGATGGTAAAGTGTAAGTCTGTGAAAGTTTTTATGTGCAGATGAAGAACTTACTTTTCACACTGTTGATGTTTGTCTTGGAGCTGGCCAGTTGTTTGCTTATTTCACTGACCGTAGAGTTAAAAAGCTGCTCCATCCTCTGCATTTTCCTCTGCATCAGACAGCAGCTGCACGATGCTTGGTCAGAATTACAATCTGTACACACACACACACACACACACACACACACACACACCAGTGTGAAGATGAGAGTGAGTGAATGTTATTTATTGGGGAAATGCCAGTCTCACCTGTAACTACACCTGCAGGTGAACTCGATGGCAGCTGGTTTTGTCCATTCCAACCATAGTTTGGGAGCTGACCAAACGCTGCATGCAGCACACACAGTAGCATGATTGCTGGAGAATAAAAATGCAAAAGTAAAGTTATTAAACTTGATCCGACTTCATAAAACTTTCATATTAACTATGGTTGCTACAATTTGCCCGTCATTGGATACATTTTGGTTTTAGCTGTTAATTTGTAACTTAGGAAACGAGGTTAAACTCACATATCAGTAATAAACAAACAATTAGAACTTGTTGAAGTTAAACCAAAATTCTGCCACACTTCTATAAAATTCTCACCTTTCATGGTGATGCAGGTAAATGACGGTGAGGCCTCTGAAGGATGGAAAAGGTGTTCACGAATGATGAGACATATACAGATTATATATTTGTCCTGTAGCTCCTCCCCTCCAACCTCTGTTTGTTATCCAGCTATACTCCTCCTTTTTATGTTCTTCCTGTTTAACTTCAGAACGTCACAAATGAGGATTCATTACACACACACACACACACACACTCACACACACACACACACACACACACACTGTTCAGTGCTTTTTGGGGCACATATGATCCAGGTAATGTCTGCCACCTGAAACAACTGCCAAACATTGCCCCAACCACCAGGATCCAGTAAAATACTCATTTCTACAGTGATCAAACACAATAATAAATCAGCGATTGAGAAATAACATCAGGTCCACCTTGACTTCCTTCACCAGCCAGATCACAGCTTCCCACTGTGATGTAGCGTAACGACACAAAGGCTGTGTAACAGGGTTTTCATCTTCGATAATACATTTACTTCCTAAAGCACGTCTTGGTTTGATTTTAAAAACAGCCTTCCACTCCTTCATCTGAACCAGATCCTCCGGTAGAGGACCTGCAGCTTGCTAGTGACACCTAGAGGTGGTGATCAAACATATTCCTCAATGGACATGTTACCTCAGTCAATGCTTTAATCTGCTTCTCTGTTACAGGTGAAGCTGAAAAAATGAGAATCTGGTGCAAAAGTCTGTCTATGTCAGTAATTAGATGAGTGTTTCTGTTCTGAGAAATACTCCCAACAACACATGTATGAAGAAGACTCTCATCAGAGTCAGCTCTGTTTGCTTTACATTTTGTGTTTTTCATCTTGAAAGGCGCGTTTTCTTCTTCTAACATTAATTTCTTAAAAGGGGAACTAGGCGGTTTTGGCTTGCTTTTAATTCTATTCAATTCAAGTTTATTTATAAAGCGCCAAATCACGACAAGAGTCGTCTCAAGGCACTTCACATAATAAACATTCCAATTCAGGTCAGTTCATTAAGCCAATCAGAAATAATGTTTCCTATATAAGGAACCCAGCAAATTGCATCAAGTCACTGACTCGTGTCAGTGACTATACAGCAATCCTCATACTAAGCAAGCATGCAGCGACAGTGGAGAGGAAAACTCCCTTTTAACAGGAAGAAACCTCCAGAGAATCCTGGCTCAGTATAAGCAGCCATCCTCCACGACTCACTGGGGATGGAGAAGACAGAGCAGACACACACACACACACACACGCACGCACGCACACACACACACACACACACACACACACACACACACACACACACACACACACACACACACACACACACACACACAAAGATAAGTAATGTGTCTATGGTTTTATTGTGATTTCTTAGTAAATATTCTATTTGGTGAGAGATAAACTTTATTGTATTTATCCTAGTGAATCTATAATTAAACGGGTAAACTAGTATTAGCACATCCAACGTCAAGGAAAGCAAAAAGTTATTATCAGGAGAGGGAGAATGTTTTAGTGGTTAGCAGCGGTGTGCTAGCTGATGGCCTCCTCCATGAGGACACCACAGCTCAGCAGAACATTGTTGTAGCTTCTTCTGGGGAGAAAAACACTTAGAGAGAAAATAAAGTTAACAGCTGAAATTGCAGAAAATAGCAGACTGTAGAAGAAAGCAGTAGAGTGTGAAAAGTGGTCAGTGTATCCTCCAGCAGTCTAAGCCTATAGCAGCATAACTACAGAGTTAACTCTGGATAACCTATCCTATTTAGATGGAGGCATGTTGGAGGCAGGGCAAGGGAGAGCCGTCTTTACCGACTGTACACTCCACCTCCCTCTACTCCTCCACTTGTCCAGATCTGGGCTAACATCAGATTTTAACCATAGGCCCTATCAAATAAAAATGTTTTAAGCCTATTCTTAAAAGTAGACAAAGTGTTTGCCTCACAGACTAAGGCTGGGAGCTGGTTCCACAGGAGAGGAGCCTGATAACTAAAAGATCTGCCTCCCATCCTAATTTTAGATATTCTGGGAACCACCAGTAGACCTGCAGTCTGAGAGTGAAGTGCTCGGTTAGGAACATATGGAACAATCAGATCACTGATGTATGATGGAGCTTGATTATTAAGAGCTTTATATGTGAGAAGAAGGATCTTAAAATCTATTCTGAATTTAACAGGTAGCCAATGTAGGGAAGCTAAGACAGGAGAGATATGATCTCTCTTTTTAATTCTCATCAGAACTCTAGCTGCAGCATTTTGGACAAGCTGAAGACTTTTAACTACATTCTGTGGACTTCCTGAGAGTAATGAATTACAGTAATCCAGTCTTGATGTAATAAATGCATGAACGAGTTTTTCAGCATCACTCCTGGAAAGGATGCTTCTAATCTTAGCAATATTCCGAAGGTGGAAAAAGAAAATCCTACAAACCTGTTTAACCTGGGATTTGAATGACATGTCCTGGTCAAAGATAACACCAAGGTTCCTTACTTTGTTCTCAGAGATTAATGTAATGCCATTCAGGTCAGGTGATTGGCTAAGCAATTTCCTTTTCTGGATTTCTGGTCCAAAGATGAGAACTTCCGTCTTGTCTTGATTTAAAAGCAAAAAGTTTAGAGTCATCCAATTTTTTATGTCCTCAAGACAAGCCTGTAATCTACCCAACCGATTAGGTTCATCAGGGTTAATGGATAAATATAACTGAGTATCGTCAGCATAACAGTGGAAGTTTATCCCATGCTGTCTAATGATTTTACCAATTGGGAGCATATATATAGTAAAAAGAATTTTAGCACCCCCTAGTGTCCATTTGTAGAACCGAAAGCAAAACCTATCGCTGTACATTCATTTTTTAAACATCTTAAAGGAGACCTAGAATGTAAATCAGGATTTTTTTTGTCTTCTTGCTAAATAAAGACAGCTTGGGTGGTCAAATGTAGCATGCCAAAAGGTCAAAGCTGTGTGTGACCTACTTTTTATGTAAATTAGAAAGTTGAGAAATGTGTGAGAGCAAGCCATAAAACAAGGGGGAGTCCTTCCTCCACAAACCTGCTGGTCTTCACCTTATGCCTGTGGTCGCCACCCCCACCAGCCTTGGCCACATAGTAACCAAACACACCTGAAGATGGAGCAAAAAGCTTGCTCCAAGCTTGGCCCTCCTCACTTCACACAGGACACTTTCTCAAACATTGGACATCATGAATCCGGCTTAACACATTAACTGATACACAACAGTGAAGCTGCATCAGCTATTCTGTCAACTCAACAATCATCAGTCAGTAAAATGTATTGTTCTGCGTGTCAGTAGCAGTTAGCACATGCTAGTGACGGGTCCAGCAACACTGACGCATCGCTGCATGTATCTGGCTCATTAGAGCGACACTCGTGTCTGTGTGCGTATCATCTAGGAAGTAGTCACGTTACCGATACAGCTGCTGTGTCGCTCATCAGTGAAGCGTCAAACTGTGTTTAAATGCAGGCGCGTCTCCCTCTGCCAACAGGATGAGTTTCTGCCACAAGTACAACTTTTGAAGCAAAATTATTCCACTGTTACACCAAGGACCCAGAAAGAAAATCGAGGTTGGTCCATGAGGAATCATTTTGTTCTTATACCGCCAAAAAAGTTTTTTGTTTTTATTCCCTTGTTTCATCCATCGACATATATACTGGACAATGTGTGTCCATAGGCTCCAATAATAAGTTTTTAAGTCAAAATGGGAGGTGGCCACCACCGCCATTTTGACCATGTCACAGTTTACGTCAAGCCCAGACAATTCCACAAAAGGGAAAAGAGGTGGAGCTGAGTTGGGGCTGTAAGGCTGGGATCAAATGACGACACTTGTCGAACTGAAGTAGCTACAAGCTAACGCGGAGGTGAGAGCTAAGCTAACGGAGGTAGCTACGTAGCTACAACCGGAGTTAACTGTGCACAACACCGGAGCTTCTGACCCCTTCTTTCCACCGGAGCCGTCAGCAGCACGTTACTGCAGCAGCACGTCTTGCTCGCGTAAGCTGCTGCTTGGCCCTTCCCACGAGACGCGAAGCAGCAGGGGAGCAGCTGTCACCGACCGAGCACGAAGTCACACGAGTGACTTCGTCAGTAAACACAACAACAAGCAGGAGAAAACTACAACATGGCTCCAAAAGGTTTGTGTTTTATGTTCTGTCCTTTTTATAATCGCCAATACGGACCTGAAAAACAAAGGAGACCGCTAGCTAGGTGATAACTTCTCATGGGGCCGCACAGTTAGTCACTTTTTTTTAAAGTAAAGCAACCAAAGGTAGTACGCTTTATTCTGAAAATCTCGGGAGCGTCGCTCCGTTTCCGCGTCCGACTTCCTGTCTTTCCTTCCCCAAAAATGTCGAACTTGACCCGTTTCAGAGGCGTCGCGTGTAGAAAATAGAACCAGCGTGGTTGGTTTATGCTTGACGCGTCCGCGAGGTTCGCACGGCTCCGCGCGGAAAAGTTGCGTCATTTTAACAACCACGCCCCTCCACCGCGTCTCCGCACGGCCCAAGATTTCCACAACGCGCACCTCGGAAAATTTCTAACCATGCGGACGGACGGACGCGGAAAAACATGGCGGACCGGCAAGAACTAGTATGGCAGAGGTTCGTAAATACAGACATTTGTATGATTCAGCTCTCAGAGATCACCGTGATCAACATGTTGTTAATAATTCTTGGAGAGAAATAGCTCGCACTGTCGGAAAAGACGAGGACGCTGTTAAATAAGCTGGAATGCCATGTTGTAAACAGTAATTTCTACTTCTACTATGGTGTAGTGTTGGATGCATGCCGTAGAGCTCCATGCTGCCCCGTTCAGTTTGGGAGAATATTGGCTCACCGCAGAGACGAGCCGCACAAACCATAAACGCTGCGAGTTGTGAAGTTCGTTCCATCCGTGAGCCGCATCACCGCGCAGAAAGTGAATGCGTCAAGCAAGGGCCGCAACATGCTGCTCCTGAGACGCGGCCGACTCGCGCTGCTGACGGCTCCGGTGGAAAAGGTTCTGTTAACCACAGCGGTTCCTATCAGCAGCTATGACGTGCTGCTGCAGTAACATGCTGCGGACGGCTCCGGTGGAAAGAAGGAGTCAGTCACAGATACGTCAGGCTGACCGCTGGGTAAAACTGGGTAGAACACAGAGGTCTCCTGAGAGCTCCACAAGCCGGCAGCCACGCAGCAGACAAGCGCCGCGGCGATCACAGATGCACTGAGCTGCTGCTGGAAGCAGATGAATTTCAGAGTTTTACACCTGGTATACCATCACCGTGTTGTGAAATTATGTCAGGCTTGTTAGTCAGAGATGAGAGTGTTTGCTTTAGATCAGAGCCAAGTAAAACATCAGAATATTTCGATTCTTGTTTATCTGGCGGGAGATCCGCAGAGCATGGAGTCATCAGTCGTTTTCTCTGCAGAGTGCTTGTTTTACCCTGGATGTCTGTTCCGTCCTGACGCAGTTTGGAGAGCTGAGTAGACATGCCCCTCATCTCAGCCGTCTGCATTTGAAACTGGTTTCTCACCTCAGCGAGCTGAATTTGGGACTGGTTTCTCATCTCTAGGATGAGGGTGGTCAATTGCTTAATTTCCTCTGAGCTCATTTTAAAATCAATGTACAGCCCTTTAGTTTATTATTAGGGCTGGGACTTGATTAAAAAAATTAATCTAATTAATTACGGGCTTTGTAATTAATTAATCTCGATTAATCGCATTTTAATCGTTCAGGAAAATGCGCTCTCAAAGTAAAACTTTTAATTAAAATTATGAGACAGAGAATCAAACATTAGACATGGTTATTACTGTAAACTAAAGCTTTTAATAAAAAAAATGCATTTTAGTTGTTCACATGTCACTGTGTGATATGAAACAAAACCCAAATCAACTAAAATTTATAATTACAAATAGAAAACACCTGCAAATTGTTCCTGAGCCTTTAAATAGTCTCTCTGTCTAGTTGAATGACTGAAATAAATTTGACTTTGCACCAGATTCTAATTTTTCCAGTTTCACTTGTTTGTATAATTGGGAGATTTTATTAGCATTTCTGCTCATAATGTAGTAAAAACACATAAATAATAATCCTTCAAAATGACAGTAGAACAGGCACAGATATGATCTAGTACTTAAATGTACTAACTTTTAACACCAGAGCAGGCATGGCATATTCTGAGAATGATCAGGAACACTAACTGGTTCCAGTTGGATGACTGGAGGTTGATGGGAAGATAAAAGATCATGGCGAGTCACGTTAATAAGGGGATGCTGCAGACCCGCAGATTCACGCCTGCAGCAGCGAATCTGGTGTGATCTCCAGCCTGATCACAACTTCCTCATTCCTCGCTGCCCCTGATAGTAATGCATGTGATGTTTAGACAGCGACTCGTCTCAGAAACATAATTCCCCGACAGAATTGTTTAGAAAATCATCAGAAAAGTGTCAGAGTATTTCTGTTTTAACTTAAACTTCTGTTTTCAACTTTAAGACAAGTTGTTTATGATTGTTTAGAGTAGTGAGAACACGGAGCGTTCTCCCAGCGGCAGCCAGGTGCCTCTCGTTTATCTGCCTACTTTCATAAACTACTGTTAGGGCACAGAATTATTGTCTGGTGCTTTCAGCGCTGCACAGATGTTACGTAAATGTTAAAAATATAGCTTACCGCAACTTTTGTAAAGTTTCCGGTGCCACCGGGCGGGCAGCCGCAGCAGAGACGATCTCTGAAAAATGTCCGCGACACGGACTCCGTTGTTGTCTGGAAGTTTTTATTTTCCAAGTTAAGAAAAGAGGCGGACGTGTTTCCTAAATCCTGCATCAGTCCAAGCAAGGCAACTTCTTTCTGTTTTTATTTCGTTTTAGTAGCCATTAGCCACTGTGCATTGTTGTGTGCGTCAGTGATATTCGGTCTACGAGGAAAACGTGCAATGACAAAGGTTCCGCCTTGCTTGAAATGCAAGCTGCGATTAAATGCGTTAATTCTTTTTTAACGCGTTATTTTTTTCTAATTAATTAATAGTAATTAACGCGTTAAAGTCCCGGCCCTATTTATTATAAAATTAATGGAAGCTGAATTCAGTTGTTAATAACTGAGCTGTGTTACAGGAGAAAATTTTATTTTTAACAACATTGATAATACACTAGGGACCTTATTTTGAGAAATAAGCTTAATAGTGAAACAACAAAGAACAGAAAAGACATGAACTTTATTAAGCCAGGTGTTAAAACCGCCACAAGATGGCAGCATCGATCGGCTAAGGCAGTGGTTCCCAAACTTATTTAGCCGCGCACCCCCTTCTATGTCCCGACCATGTCGACCCCCCCCCCCCCCCCCCCCAGCCCCCACATCGGGGCATGGCTATATATATATATATATATATATATATATATATATATATATATATATATATATATATATATATATCAGATGTCAAGCTAAACAGAGAGGGTTAAAACAATTCCCGATCACTTTCATTTTTTAAATAGTAATTAATAAGCATTCGATACCATTACAATTTCCTTTGATTTCATTTTGAATAAATATTTAGAGTGCCCAGGTAGCACATAAACAATGCAATTTAACGGTTTTCTTAAAGTAGGAACGTTTAACCTGTGCGGCCAGAGCGCCCTCCTTCCTTCTGCTCTGCGTAAACCTGAGCTGATCACCTACTTGTGCGTAATCAAATGTCACTAGGGGACAAGATATAGCCATGATGTTCACTTTTACCTCAGACCGACTTATTGCTGTTTTATGGTGTGGCTGAATCTGCGATCCGCTGTCACGCTGACCGGAACAACAAATGCTGCACTAACAGGAGTTGTGGTCAGGTTCGGAGTCACTGGCTGGAGCGGACCCGACTCATCCCAGAAGCTAATATCTTAATTTGACCTTGAATGAAAAATAACCTCTTAAAAGTTTTTATCACGGTGGAGGCAGCGTTCATTTCTGCCTTCAGTCTGACGGCGCGCCGGAGTTAAAGCAGCGTGCGCGCTTATTGAATGTGTGTGTGCGCGCGCGGCACAGCCGCTCAAGTCACCGCGTCTCGCGCTATTTAAACCAATGTTGTAAAATTTCTTCTGCCCAGCCCAGATGTGCTCACTTGTGCACCCGTGAGCCGTGGTTCCGCTGGAACACGTCTGACCTCTGACAGACGCACTCTGAACTTCAGATCTTCAGCGCGCTGTCAATAGCCTGAATGGGAATCATTTCTTGTTATTTTGTTACATCCACAATGTTCTGTGTGTGAGGTTTACGTCAGAACACCTGCATGAGACAGGTGTTAATTACAATCTGCCAGAATGACTCACCACCTTCAGATTTCTCCAACACCGTTAAAAATGATCAAATACGGAACATATCGGCGTGCGCAGGCCAGAGTGCTGAAGCTCGGCGCATTGTTATTATGAAGCTAGGGCACATGTGGAGGACACATGCGCGGGCGCAAAAATATACTTGTTTTCAATTACATTTATTGTGCCCACTTACTTTTTCTTTGGCCCACCCACAAATGAGTTTCTACGCTAATGGTGACATATGACAGACTTCTCTGAGCTCCGCAGCCATTACACTTTTCACCTCGCGCACCCCCTAGCGGCAGCTGCGCGCACCACACTTTGGGAATCCCTGGGCTAAGGAACTGTGGTTAATGGAGGGAGGCCTGATGCTTCACTCCTTCTACCAGATTCATGGACGAGCTAAGCTATTGAAGCTAAACTCTTGATTTTGGCTAAAACACAGTGGTCTTAATACCGAATATTTACCCAAAAGGATTAAGCGGAGACGCTACAGTCAACGGCAACCTGTTTGATCACTCGGTTCTACCGAAGTAAATCCTATCTCACATGACAACATCACTATATTTTTTAGCTTTGTTGGTGGCCACGAGTTGAACAATCTGTGAACTTTTAGGTATTTCCCCTTCGATAAGGTGATTCCCTTTTCAGTGGCGATGCGTGCCGTGCACTGGCAGGTCAACTTAAGCTGGATGAAGCTGTATTTTCGCGGTGTTCCGACACGAAAGCTATAGTTTTGCTATCTTGTCTAAAACTGAACTTCTTTGTTCGTTTTAAACTAGAAGATGCGCGCATAGGAGCGGTAGTGACGAATTTGTACAAAACCACTCGATCAGACTAAATCTGAACGTTCCCGAAAGCTTAAGATAAGTGTGTTTAAGCTATATTTCGGAAAACGGAGTGCTATTCTGCCGTGTTAAGGCTGATTAGCTACTAGCTTTGCTAGCGTGAGGAGAGGGAGAATGAGACACTGCGTGTCAAGATGGAATAAACGTCCAAACACACAATCAAACAACACATTCGCTTACTTTAGCAGTTAGGATGTCTTTAAAACAGTCCCAAAGACTTGTGGATTAATCACTGTATCAGCTGTGTCACGACTTGCCGGATGTTTATGCCAGATGTCGGTGTTACTGTAAAAAGCTTCCCTCCCAGAAGTTTCTGGAGGAAGAAAATTAAGGCGAGACAACTCCCCCCAAATTCCACTACCTCCGCTCCGGTCCGACCCCGCCCTCCGCTGCCGCTCGCTTCCGAACTCAATTTTTACTGCTACCCGCTCTACAACGGCTCCGCTCCGGTGCGGAGACCTGAGGTGGGCAAACAAGCATGCGCGGGATTTTCGATATCTTGCGATACAGTCCGAGCAATAACCGCGGAAGTTAGATCCAAACACCCGTTGTGTGGGAGAAGCATCGAAATGAACTGTTTAATCTGCCCATCATTTGTGTTGAGAGATCAGCAGTGTTTGGATCAACAAAGTGTGACTACTTTGATAGTGGAAACTGTATTTATGGCTTACTTTTGTGCATTTAAACTTCAGCCGCCACTGATAGTTGTTAAAAGTTGTTAAACCTGTGCATATGAAACAAAAAACGCCTTTTGTTTATCGATGTATTGTGAAAAACGGAAGTTGTGCCCGCTCCTTTTCCTGTTGGACGGTTGTGATTTCTGTCCATTTACTGCGGAGGTGCTCCGGCGTCCGGCGAAAATAGGATCGATTATATTTTTGCCGGACGCCGGAACAGAGGGCGGCGCACGGCGCCGCACTGCCGGAGCACGGCCGCAGTAGTGGAATAGCTCTGATTGACTACAACGGGACCGATTTTGCTCCGGCGTTCGTGTCGGAGCGGAGCGGAGCGGAGGTAGTGGAATTTGGGGGTTAAGGTCTAGCTGCAGACGCAGCCCCGGCCAAACACGCCCCTATGTACAAAACACGCGTGCATGTACGAAGACGAGAACTCGCATGCGTGTCGCAAAAGATGGAAATGACGGGTTCAGGTAAAGACAGATTTTTATTTTTACAACTTGCGAAGATTTTGTACTAGAAATTTGAACGTTCAAGACATAGTTTGATAGACAGCGCATTCGTAATTTTTTTCTGAAACACTTTTATATAAAATTAAGTATTATTGGCAGTGGGGGAAGACGTCATGGATGCACTTTTTTTAATATAATTTTTAATGGGCTACATGCAAGCCTTTTGGCCAAAATAAACGTAACAATAGGCTATTTATTTGACCGTTTATGACTCCTCATCTAATAAGCAGCAAACTCACGACGGCAATGTGGTAGCCCGGAGGTATTCTACAAACACAAGAACAGTGCCTATATGTATTGTTTTCACATTGTTTATGACAGCCTCTAGGTGTAAATGTCATTTTTACTAATTGCTATTTATCTTTGTCTCATTAGTGAGAGGCAGCTGATGTCCTATGCCATGGAACTGCTCATATACTCGGAGAAATTCAGAAAAGCTCTGGACTCATCTGAATTTTTGAAGAGGCTGTAGCATTGTGTGGACATTTATTTTATTTATTTATTTTTTTTGGAAGGTATTTGTAAGGCCAATAAAAGCTGTTGCTGGTTGTTGTCATAGCGGGTAGAATTATTTTGACCCACGACATGCAGAATCACCACAAGACACCGGCAAGTAAGTAAAACGATTTTATTATGCAATGAGGAACAATGGCAGGAACGGGAACCGACGACGGGCAGCCAGGCTGGCAGCAAGATTCCAGGATAGAATTCTGAGGAGGGAGACAGAGTGAGTATATGGAGGAAACGACGGAGAATGATATAGGGAGTGGAGCTTACTGATTGCAGCTAGTGGTGTGATCTTCCGGGGGGATAGGTCAGGTCCGGGTGAGCAGGAAGGCTCCAGGAGGTGATGGAACTGTTGGTCCAGAGAGGATGTAGGAGCAACGGTTTGATGTAGGCAGTAGTGATGTTACCTGTGACACGCAGGATTCGAAGCTTGTATCACCAAAACGAACCACCGCAGAGCAAAGCACTGTGTCGGAGCTTGATTTGTTTACTGAAAGTCACGTGACCAACGAGCAACGACGCTTCGATTCACCCTTCCACCCACGTGACCGCTTCACACGTTGTTTCAAACATTTAAAGCAACGCAAACCGAGAGGCGCAGGTTTATGGCAAGCCAAATGAGCATTTATTCTGATGTCAGGATATCAGCCAGAATTGTCATGAACAAAGCCATTTCTGTCCACTAGTTAACTAGTTAGCCATGTTTGTGTCAACTAGTTAAATTGTGACAGCCTAAATGTCAACTAGTTAACTAGTAAGGCCTAAATTCTCTCTAGTTAACTAGTTAAAATGTTTCATATCTTACTAGTTAACTAGTATTGCTCAGTGTGTTCACTAGTTAACTAGTGCACATTTATGTCTACCACAAGTTAACTAGTGTGCACATTTTGACCCTCACTAGTTAACTAGTGAGACAAATACCTTCAAGTAGCTGAGTGGTATGCATTTCTGCTTTTACTAGTTAACTAGTGAGCAGTTTTTGTGTCAACTAGTTAACTACTGAAGCCTAAATGTGTTCACTAGTTAACTAGTGCGCATTTCTGTTGTCACTAGTTAACTAGTGGGCACATTTTCACCCTCAATATTTAACTAGTTGACACAAACATGGCTAACTAGTTAACTAGTGTGCACATTTTGACCCTCACTAGTTAACTAGTGAGACAAATACCTTCAAG